ACCTGTAAAGTTATAAGTAGCATTTTTTTTATTCCTTATTGGTAGATGTTGATGCTGACAATCAATAAATAATCTATATCAGAAGGAGTAGATTTACATTATATTGTAGTACCTACCTATGTAGTAAGCAACATGTGAAATACATAGAAAACATAATTAATAAAGATAAATAATAATAATAATAATATTCCGCCACATCTATTATTCTGGATGGGGTATTCAGAGGCATTACCAAGTATTAACGTCTTTTGTTGTGGTAAACGCAACAATTGCTATAGCAGAGGGTCAGCCTACCGCCGTTTCTTGGATTAACTTCTTGTTCTGGGTTAGTATCGGTATTATCGATATTTCATTTACGGTATTTCATTTATCACCCGAGGGTTAGTCAGAAATCTATATTAGATCTTTACTCACATAGGTGTTTTTGTGTTGGCCATAGATTCGAACTCACTACCTTTCCGTGTTAGTCCGGGTAGCAAATCACTAGGCCATGACGCTTTCCTTGATTAATGTACTGCACAAACTAAACGTTCACGTGGCACTAGATTAGTAGCTCGCATTATCTATGTGAGAGGCGCCTCCTCGCTAATTGCTTGTAACTGGAACGCACGGGACATAATACTAAGTTGCACAACCAATAAACTCCGCCCTACGATTTCTGTCCCACAAAGTAATGCATGCTTTACCCCAGGTTAAATCGACTGCACATTTCAATGGTTTTAACACTAACAACTAACATGGTAGCTACAACTAGTTAAGCGCATAGTCAATGTTATTGTTAGCTATGCTCTAATATTTTTTATATCTATTGGTTTCATTAAATACTGTTATAATATACGAGTAACGGACTCAGCTACTTAAGTACTAAAATGAAAATAGTGTGCTGAATTTCCAGAATATGTAGATCCTGGCAGCATTATTGGCTAGTCAGAGTATCATTTTATCAGATTTTATGAATGATATTGATATTCGTATGCGCTAACATTATACTCTGGCAGGAAATCAATGAAGGATGATTAGCTCAGAAGAAGTCTCATAGGCCGACTATTTGACTATAAAAATCGAGATGGTATTCAGTGGGGACCGCGTGGAAGATCAACTGATATGTTACTTTTATAGCCTCATCCCTTCCTCCTAATATTATTATATTGGTACTCAATTATTCATCCCGTGTTGGATGAATTGGACGTTAAAAATAAACAGTAGGTAAGTACACAATTACATTTCTAAAATAATTTCACTTTTACAGTAAAATGCACTAATAGTCAGTTCTAAATCAGCCAATAAGAAATATTCAAAAATTGTATAAACTTGGTTTGCTAAAAATCTTGGTAAAAAATTATGAATAGTTGTTTTAGTAAAAAAAATATAACTTCAAATTCATAGTACGTACTGACAAAATTATTTGATTACACAAAGTATAAGTGCTTAACGGTATATATGTTGATTGCTGCATGTTAATGTGTTTATTATGTGAGTTCCGTAATTTTAACATAGTTTATGTATTATATCGATATTATATTTCTTTACTTTCGTAAATCTTGCGATTTGGCAATTTGTGTTCACGAAAAATCTTGAATATGTAATGCTGAACAACATCTATTTAAAAGAAAAACCGCAAGTTTCTTCGTTGTACATACGATGAGTCTGCTTACCCATTGAGTGGTAGAATAAAATCTATTATTATACATATATGACTACTCAAAAGTGCGTATATATTACATTTAGTTGAATAAAGGCTATTTCTATTTTTACAATATTTTGATTGTTCATCCTACTATTACCAAATAGTTTATCAAGATAGTCCCGGTTGAAATTATTTTGAAGGTCACGAAATAAATAAGTGTAAGTAAGTAGGTATGTTAAATTCTACATAAACAATCATAGCATACTTTTTAGTGGTTACCGGGTAGGTACTTGGCCTTTTTTATCTCCATAGCTAATTATTATTTTCTCTGAATATAAAAAAATCTTAATACTGATAAAAAATACTACATATCCACAGTATCCGCGCAAGAAAGAATATCTAGATTCTAAATTTTAGTTTTAAAACAGTATAATTTTAAAATATATACAAACAGAACTCTCTGGACCAGTTTGTAATATTATGTATATAATGTAATATTAGTATGTAATATGTTATCTGTGATACCAGTGAGTTTCTGTGTGTTCTTTATGAACTTTCCACTGCAACTTTCCATTGCTTATCAGGCACCTGCATTGCCTACCATAATATTTTTATTAGCTACTAAATGAGAAACAGTTATTGTGTGCCAGTGTCTATCTCTTATGATTTACTTTGAATGTAACGGTTCATTCTCTTTGTAGCAAACAAGTATTTGCCTACGTCCAGAGTGCTATAATAAGATCCTAAGTGTCTTATGTGTCCTAACTACTTTTCCTTCTTATAATAAACTAGCTGTACCCGCGACTTTGTCCGCGTGGAATTATACTTTTATTTTTCTAAAATAAACTAATATTTCTAAAATAAAAGTGGCCTAAGTTACTACTTATTACATTATCTGGCAAAAAAGTCCCGTCAAAATCGGCCCAGCCATTTCAGAGATTAGCCGGAACAAACAGACAGACAGACAACAATATAAAAAAAATTATTTTGGTGTATGTACCGTATTTATATTCTATATGCATGTAGTAAAAACGGTTATTTCAATATTACAAACAGACACTTCAATTTTGTTTATATGTATAGATAACCCTCAACAATTAACACAGCGTCATCTAGTCCCACAGTAAGCAGAGCTTGTGTTATGGGTACTAGACAATTGATATAAATACTTAGATGTTATTTGTACATACATAATAAACATAGAAAACACCCTGATTAATACAAACAATTATACCCATGAATACAAATGTTTGCACCGTGCGTGGAATCGAACCCTCGAACGCCGGAAGTAAATCGGTGTGATATCCTAACAGTCGACTACTAGAGATATATACATAATAATGCAAACACCTCAAGCTACTGTGAAGATATCTATTAAAGTGCAATTGTGAGCGATTGGTAACAATGAAATAAACGATTTAACTATAGGTATGGTCGGTGACCAACACTACACTAGCTTTTGCTAACTAGGTCTATTTTTCATTATGAAATAATTTACATTGTAATGAAGATGTAAACCTTTACTAATCATTTATAGAAACGCCCCTTTTGCCTTTTGTAATTTCTTATTACCTACTAACCGTATTCGTGCTGATTTTTTAAAAGACACTTTTTAGAGGTACTTTTGGATAGTTTGTCTATTGTCTTAAAATTTTATGAGCGTCTTAAGAAAAGACCTTAACCATGTATGTTATGTTCCCACGTGTTTAATTACTACTTAATGCTATTTACACGGTAGTAATAAACTCTCCATTTAAGAAGTAGCTATTATACGGTAGAACGCCGACGTGACTGATAATGCGATACAGCCGTTTGCATAAGGACTTAAATGAGCAATACAACTTATTTTTTTAATTAATCATTTAGCGTTACAACGGTGTTTAGTGCGAGCGTGACGTCTAATATACTTAACTGTTAAGAAGATATGTAATGCACTGTGTTAAATCACGTATTACATAGATAGTTTTAGTTAAGTAGATTTAAGTACCATATGACTTCGGTAAAGATTAACTTAATATATTATTATCATAATTAGGTACGTAGGTATCTAAGTGTGTTAACTATACCTACTTCTAAAAAGGAGGTAATCAATTGGTCTCTTTTTTATCATTTAACTTCACCTACTATAATCTAGTCTTCTTTAGGGTCAAAAATCAAGATTTGAGAATTCGATTTAAAATTTCAGTAAATGTTGCATTACCTGTGCTTATTAAATTAAGTGAAATAATAATTTAATGAATTCTTAATTGCCATCTATACTAATAGTTACATCAAAATTTAATAATTAAGTTTTTATGCACTTTAAAATTATCTCAGCGAAAATTATAGGCGTTCCAACTATGACTGAATATATTTGTAACGCCTGCAATTTTCTCTGAGCTACCTAGTTGGCCAATAGAATACACAACGTATTGAGTAATGCCTTTATCTTTAATATTAGGCAGTATTATAATTTATATGTATCTATAAATAAATAACAAAATAAAATTATACTTAGAAACAATGTTAACAACGGTATATTTATCTATAGTAGTTATCTCCCTCCAGCGAAACTAAAAGTGCATTTCATGGGAAGTACTTAGTGAATGGGCAAGTTTAGTACAAGAGATAATTGAAACGAAATATCTACACACGGTTTGTGTAGCTGTATACATAAAAAAATGAATAAGATATTACATAAGAATGTATAAATCACGTAAATTATATATAATTTACACTAATTTAGTTAGAACAGTATTGATCAGTAGCTGGTATGGACTAATCCTTAGATACAAGCAGCACTCACTCAAAAATGTGATGAGTATGAACAAGTCATCAAATATTATGAGTATTTCTTCCACGAAGAACATTTTTTTTTTAAATAGTGTTGATGAAATAATACATTAATACAGCATCGCTATCCAGTAGATGGTAATATCACGAGAAATCAATATATGATAGATTAGATTTTAACCTGACGTACTCTCCACTGCTAATAAATCCGTCCGGTATAAATTATGTTCAATGACCCAATCGTGTATATTTATTTTATGAATAATTGTTCGAGTAATAGCACTGTAGTTAGTAAGTAAATGTGTAGTTAGTGTTTGCTTGAGAACACGATATTTTAATTAAAGGTTATATACTTGATCTTGTTTTCTGATTTGTAAATAGAAAAAAAAGATTTAATAAACGTAAGTTCTTCTACATTAAGTATCAGATATATACTTCCAAAACTGGAAATTATATTCTGTTGGTCTATAGACAGATAGTGTACTATCCAAAGTCACTAATAATTAAAAAAATATTGCTTCTGACAGCTAATATAATGACAGTGCTACTGACGTCTGTACTAGATTGTGACACTGACAAATGACAATACGCATGAGTTGATGACAACACAACATGTTTTTTCTATAAAACTACATAGTAATCTATCTTTAAATTTACTTTCAAACTAAACTTCTCTTAAATTATGTCTGCTGAAAAGTACTTAACGTTTAAACTGTAAAGATAAATAATTTAATACGCCATTATGATAGAAGGATACGGTGCTGTAACTCAGGCCCTCTTAGGGACCCTCTTGACATGGGGGCTCACAGCCGTTGGAGCCGGTTGTGTATTTTTTATAAGAGGGAAACATGTACGTAACTCGTTTCTGCTATTTATTTTTGTATTACTATGAACTACTTTTCAGTATGTTCCAATAATGAGTGACTATTGTTGCAGAGAAAATTACTTGATGTATCTCTTGGTTTCGCTGCGGGAGTTATGACGGCGGCCTCCTACTGGTCTTTACTTGATCCAGCTATTAAATTGTGCAAAGAATCTGACTTGTATGGTGAAAATGGCAAGTTTGCATTTTTGCCGATTGCAGCTGGTTTTCTATTTGGAGCTGCGTTTGTGTTCGCGACTGATAGATTCTTAGACTACTTAGGAATTAGTTCAACAAATATGATGATGTGTAAGTAACAACTTTATTTTTATTAACTTCATAAATTTTTAGACATAATGATAAATTAAAAAACTATAAAGGACTTTAAGAAATTGAGCTAAAAACTTAGTGATGCTTTGGCCTGCATTATGTAGAAATATATTTTTCCATAAGTTTATTAAATTAAAATGTAAATTAATCACTTAACAGCTATACGTTCTAATGTAGGATTAGATTTTGTAGTATTTTTCTTTTCCTTTCTTACAATTAGGATTAAAAAATGGACTCAATTTTCTGGTGTGAAAAAATACATTTTGAATTTATCTGCTGTTTAAAAATATCTTTGTTGTTTATCTATTGATATTCAGTACCTTAATTAAAAACATTTTGTTCGAGATCTTGTTATTAATAATATAGTTACTTATTAATTATGGTCTGGCATATTTCTATTTGTATATACATAAAAAAATTATCCAGTTTATGCTTAATTAAAGATTAATCTATCTGTAATAAAGAATAAAAAAAACATAATAATTTATATGAATATAGGATCTGATTAGTTAAAATTATAAGTAACTGTATGTAGTACTCAAATTAGGTGTTTGAATTAATTTAAAAGAAAGTTTTTTTCTACTACAAAAATGCTTGGTTTATATATTTAGTAGGGAGTAAAAAAGGAGATCCCTGTTATATGAGTATGCATGTATACAAAATGTGTGAAACTATGTATTTACACTATAGCTACTAATGAAATTTGTATTTTAAAATATTTTTTCTATTAAAATATTTTTTTTGGTAGTAATTAGTAATTTACGTCATTTTAATACATATTATAACTTTTTTTTTAACATATTAAGACCTTAATCCTATTACATTGATGCTTGGGAAGTAATGGGTTAATTTAATCATTTGAAGCATTAGTGTTCTTTGGCTTTTGCCGACATTCATGAACATTCATCTGATGTTCATATTAGTTGATATAATTATTAAAATCTATATAATCAGGCCAAAGTTGAAAACTTTTTATTATTCCTTCCAAACTCAATAACACTTATAGTATATGGTAAGGCAACAGAGCAATAATAGGCTTATGGCTAAAATAAATTGTCAATATCATAATTTCATTTTATGTTCTATATGTTATAGGCTCTTTCTTATTTAAGTAAGAACACAGGTTCGTATTGTCACAATTTAACTCATACAGTTATGAATGTGTACTGCATTTCTCAATTATTGTTTAGCCTAAAGGTAGAGAATGCTTCTACAATGCTTCTTTCTGTTAAGTACATCTTTTATACCATTAATTTTATTTGCTTATTGAAGATTGAATAAATACATAAATAAATTTAAATGAAGATATACCATAAGTCTATCTGATATATGTTTAATTATGTTATATTCTTATTTACTTATTTCATAAATGGGTATTATAATATTAACAACTCATTTTTGTAGTAAGTTGCATTAACTTGTTATCTATCTTAAAATACGTGCTACTAGAAGTTTGCGTGGTGTTCCTTATCACGCAAAATATGGCTTTTATTTGTAGTTGTATAAACAGTGTTTAAGTATATATTATTTACTAGCTGTTTCACGACTTCGTTTACGTGAGCGAGACATATCGAGAGTTTGATCTAGATAAAGGTTGCTTATGCCTATGCGTGCCATGATTTACTTTGCCGATCACCCAAATATCTACTGTTATTGAAGTTTTTGTCTCATGTTATTTGTATTTGATCAAGGTGTTTCCTAGATACTCTTGATAGTATTATACAAATATGTATTTATTTTACCTCTTGTATTATGAGTGTAATTTTAACTAGAATTTTTATTTTTTCTTGTGATCAATATTTTTTTATAAAACGGATACTTTAAGACCCCTATTGGTTTAGGTTTTGCCCTGCATTATCAAGACAGGTCATATCATAAATCTAAGGGAAGTTAGGAATTATGTAAGGGGACTAGATGACAGACCCAATTCACACCAACTTATTTTATTCTTACTTATATTACGAAATATCATATATTTCGTAGCCGTCTTTTACTGATTGAATTGAAATCATTGTTGTTACTAGGTATTTACCATTGAGATAAGTATATACCTACCTACAATGAATGCATTGTCGTTACTTATTTCATACGAACGTCTTTCGTTTGATGTCAATAGGTATTTCTTATTCATCAATTACACAATTAGCACAGTCGCTGTGAACTGATGTCGCTGTAATCGCATCAATCGCATCATATTTGTGGACTTCCAGAGATAGAAAAACACACAAACCGACGGTTCTGTTTGTGTGTTTTTCTATGTCTGGAAGTCAGAGATATAACACTTTTTTTCTATTTGCAAATTTACGAACATTGGTGTCAATACCCAGTGGTAAACCGCTATATCAGTACTCTCTCAAAATGAATTATGATGGTTTAATTATCTCATCCATCTGCCAATTAACTACTTGATTTTATAAAAAGTTCTTACAGGATACAGAAGCTCGACCATTTTTTAATATTGTCATTCTCGATTATACGAAGTTCCAAACACAAGCTGTTTTATCTGTACTCCGTTACGTGTTACCTTTCATGAAGTTTGAATATCGTAGTGGAGTTCATACATAACCTATATCTATCAAAATAAAATCATACTCAAATAGTATTATAATCTGGACGTTACTCGGTATCCATTCAGGATACCGAGTAGTATAACATTAAAGACCATATGAACCCGGTTCGATAGTTTCGACCACTAAATAATTATTGAAATATGATTTTTAACGTTTTAATGGCCTTTCTGTATAATATGTAACTGCGTAGAATTTTAAGTCACATGCTTAAATATTAATGTAATTTAAAAAATTGCGCAGTTTCTACGAGGAAATAAGAAACGGCTTTTGGTAATTTCCAGAGATATATAAGAAAACGAGTTCCGCGCCAGTAAGGCCAATGTACACTTATACTATTATACTGAGTCCGTGACGTTTTGCGATCATAAAATCAAATTAAACTACCTTGAGGTATTCGTATAGATCTATTACAGACATTTATTATATATCAAATTTACAGTCAGTTCGGAACGCTTTTGAGAATAAACTCACCTCGAACTCTTTTCAAATATGGTTGTACATGTTTGCAATAACACAGATTTATTTTTGAATTCAAATTTGGGAAAAATAAAACCTTTATATGCCTGTGTAGTATGTTATAGTATAATGAGAGAATAAAGCTGTATGTCGTGGTTATCTAGACTGATCTGAGTACACATGTGTACCTAAACTTGTTTTAAGTAAGCTTATTACCCAATTATAAAGTTCTGTTACCATTCGTTGAGCTTCATACTGAGAGATAGAGTGACATGTCAATATGAAAAAAAATAAATGGCTGACTTGTATTTAATTGATTAATTCTACCCCACTCGCAATTTTTTTATTATAAATAAGATATATTGACTCAAACTGTGTTTACAATATTACAGCTATTACAAAGACAAAAGATTCAAAAGAGAAATTGGAAGACTTGGAGATGATGACGGCGTTGAATAGGCGACCGTCGACAAGCGTGGTCACATTGGACGGCCCGCCACCGCCGGCTGATTTTGCTGACTGCATCACAAACCAGCATACAGCTCAACGGCGGAGAGGGCATCACAATTCTCACCATTCCTTGGTTTGTATTCTTTTAATAGAGTGGTACACCCGACTGCGTTAAAACTATACGCCAGCGTTACACTAGTGAATGATGATAAGCATGAAGTCAGGTCAGTTAGTCCATTGTGGCAAATGCTGGCAATGAAGTTACTAGTCCTCGTCACGAGCCATCCTTTTTCCCTGTTGGTTTGAACTCTTCATTTTAGGAACCATTTAATTTGTTAAATTTTTGGTTTAAGTCTAAATCTTTAAAACAATTAGATTTTTGGAACTTGGTCAATTGTCTTGTTTTCTTTTTTTACTCAATGTTATTATAATTTTACCAGAGAAAAGAAAGAAACAACTTAGTACTTAGAGAAATACAAAATCGTCTGCTCCTATCTCTTTCCCATTCTTATCTCATCTTTATCTTAGTTCTGCGCCTAAACAGCTTGCTTCAAACCGTAAATCAGTACCCAACAATACACTATTGAACTTGATATTACTTTGTTAACCTCAAATATGTATATATTTAAAGAGAGTAGAGTTGGAGTTAGAGATGTAGTTAGGTTAGTAGTTATGTTAGAGCAGTGACACTTTAATGTTATAAGTTAAAATGACATATGTCACTGCTTTACTAAAGTTAGTTAAGTGGAGCTAAGAAAAGAGATCGTACGCATTATAAAACTCAGTAAAAACGATCAATCTTCAATTTTCTCAATTCATATTAATGTACCTCGTGGATTGAAGAAATAAGTACATACTTATAATGACGTTATCAGCTTGTTTGACTTTACTAGTCGTAGTAAAAGCTATAAATTCAATAATAAGTACTTAAAGGTGAATAAGGGTTTTAAAAGTAGAAAATATCGAATACCTAATTCTTTTCATTATGACTATATTCGTTCGTGTATCAAATTATTCTATAGCCGACTATAAATTAGTTTAAACTAGGATTAATATAGATAAAATAAAATAAATTTAACAATATAGCAGGACTAAAATAGCATGACTTAGCTTTTCTTATCCTACATGAGGGTAGTCAGAGGCGCTGTCGATGTTGTATTAAACGCAGCACTTGTCTTGCTCATATTTCGCAAGGTATATATGAATCGAACGTTTTTTTCGGACTATAATGCTGTTGGCTGCAGCTGGCCTTTACAGCTTTTCCGAGAGATAAAGACGAGTACGAATGGCACTCCACTCTCGCGGAAAGACTTATGGAGCGGCTGAAGGCCAACTCCCGCCTGATAGATACGACTTTAGTCTGAGGCACCGCTAGGGGTTCGAACCTCGGCTTAGGCCATCGTGATTTCGATCCCCGTTTGAATTGGACGGGGAATCGATCGGAGGGGAGGTGGGAGAGGTGATTCATTACAAAATAAAAGATATGTTATAAAATAAATTACCAACAGAGTAGTGTAGAGTTGCATACTCTTAAATATCATATTACACATATCACATTTGCAACGGCATTGCCTCGTGTCGTTCGTATTAGAAACATAATTTATTATCGCGTTACGTGAACGATAAGAATATGAAACCTTGGAAAAAGAGACCAGTCCCTTCATAACTCAAATTAGAATTATTTCACCTACATAATAGTAAATATGAATTTCTAATCAGCAATCAATCAAAATATACAGGTTGGAACAATACGGGGTCTGGGGGAAATGAATTTCATTCATGATTTACCTTAATTAAAAAATACTGATTTACCGAGTTGTTAAAAGTTTTCTGCGTGGGTACTTAAGTCTACCTATTACAGCCGACAAGCAGCATTTTTTGTAAGCTGTTTCGGTTGACGGGTGAGGTAAGACAGTGAAATTGCGAGCTAAGAAGTATGCCATGTTTGTCCTCTGGAATGGCAACGCATGAGTGATATCACGGGCGTTATATGATAACGTGACATTCGTAGTCCTGTTTATGTCAATAAATAAAAAAAATTGTTTAGGCATTGGTTTCCATTACCATCACTTTGGCAGTCAGATTGTTTTCCAAACACATAAAAAATATTACGAATATTAATTATGTACTTTTTTGTTCTATTCTGTATTAATTGAATTTTAACCAAACATTTAACTTGTGAATTACATAATGGTTGACAAATAGACAATGCAATTTGTAATAACTAAAAAATAATATAAATAATCAATGTTTCTTTTGACTAAAATTATGTCTGTGATATTTTATATCAGTTTTGATGCTATTTTACAATTAATTATAATATATAAATATTAATCAGTAGGTATTAATTTCGGTTGAGGTACAATTTTTTCAGAGATAAGATCACAGTATTAATCAGTTCATTTTATTTTTATCTTGGTTTTAATCGTCTATTTTCGATAAATAATTACGCTAAAATTAGCTACTTTTTATGATGGACTAAAAAATGTTCGGAAATACTTTTTATGAATTTTTAGAAATGAGGGGTTCAAATATTAATATTTTTGTGTCAAATAGTGTCATAGACAAGGCTTTGTCTACACCGAGATTTTAAGGTAAACAATTTTTAAAAATATCTATATATCTTCGGCTCCGCCCTCTCCCTCTCTCTCTACCTTTCTCTCTAATAAATATTTATGCCTAAATGTTCATTGTAAGTAACAAATTCTGCTCACAACTATACAATACAAGTAGATGGCGCTGTGGCAATTTTTATATGTAACCAACACAATCGGCACACGAAAGAATCTTCACTGTTCAATACATAGTGTATGCACTACTCTTTAGCTTTATAAAAAATACTTGCCTATAACTTAACTATACAAATTACAGAAAGCTGGTGAGAATGGCGAGGTCGACCGTCGTGACAGCGCAGCGCGGTCACTGGAGGCAAGGCAGTCACAATGGAAGCGAATTATGCTTCTAGTAGTAGCCATCACCGTCCACAATATACCTGAAGGTCTGGCCGTGGGCGTATCATTTGGTGCTGCCAAAGAACCAGCCAACTTCCACACAGCCAGGTTAGTTATTATTTTTTTATGTAATTGAAATTAGAATAAAACCTCTTCTGGAATGGCAACTATACACTGATATCCTGACTTGAGAGGCTGGGACTGATATCCTCTCTTGTCTTGAAATTTTGACTGCTTGTCGCACTTTCCAACCGAAACACCGCAAAGAAAGCATTCTGCTTGGCGTCTGGAATAGTTAAAGTGAGACTATTTTAGTTTACAAGAAATTTATTTTTCGATTAAATTTGCATATTTTGTTTTATTAAAGTGTCACAGTCACATTTTAAACGAAAATATACTTATTTGACTATTGCCATTGCAGTGAACGTAAATAATGCATAAATACATTTTCATGTTCACTACTGGTTAGTAAAGGTGGTGATATATTAAATTGTAGAATAATAAACATAAAATGATTTGCCTGGCTAATATACCACAGCGAATATTTATTATCCCATCATGTTTTATATATACTTTTATATTCTCTCTACCATGACATACCACTTACTCACTGTTTAATGTAACTAGTTGTACCTAAAAGAATCGCTTCGTTGACACATTATAGTTGATTAATTAAGAATTCCTTATCTGTAAACTATGAATCTGTGTTAATTTTAAGACTGATTTTTAATAAGTGAATTATGAAAAAGTTCTAGTTCAGAGAATTCAGAATTATATTGTTTTAAGTAGCAATGCAAGAGGCAGTTTGCAGTAACATTATTTTTAAATGAGGGTGCGGCAAAGAAGGGTTTACTAGGGCGCGATAAACGAGATAGTCTACGATAGGGACATTGAGAGATATAGATGCTAGATAACAGTGAGGAGCCAATTTTATTATTCACGAGGTTTGTACAGAAACACCATATTAAATAACTTGTGTCCTTGTATCAAACTTGTGAGGTTTTAACCAATACCATAATCATAGTGATTAGTACGGTAGTTTAAGATTTTTTAAATAGCTTTTGTATTTTTTATGTGCGGTCAATGTGTACCTGGTAATGAGGACACCATACAACAGAAATTTAGAATACATCTGAGTTTTTATCATTTTAATATTTGAGAAAAGGTTTGTGTTTCTGTTTATAAAACCAAAATATTAATATTAAACTGATTGAACTAATCTTCAGGTTCCAGTGGTATTTCACCAACATTTACTCTTAATCCAAGAAGAAATAGCTTTCTGTCATCATCTATTAAAAGAGTCTCCATCTATCAGTAATTCATTGTAATAAAATAGTTTTCACCTTAACGCCATCTAGTTCTGAAGCAGTAAAATACGAAATACATGTATAAACTGCTGTATATGTAGTGCTGCCATCTTAAAAGTGTTTATATTATTATCTATCTTAATAATACATTGTGATTGCGCATTGAATAGGTACATTCAGTGTATCGATTAGGTAGATGGCGCTACGGGGTTTACGTAATGAATTACTGAAAATAAATTATATATAATTCAAACAAAGGTTATTTATTACTCTCCTTTTTTTCAAGTATAAAATTGTTTCTATTTCGATATTTTATGTGTATAGATAGTTGTAGCAAATATAGTTACAAAAATAGCATTCGTTTAATGTGGCAATGTCTATTTAGTAAGCAATTTACAAAAGAATTGTTGTGTAACTTGACCTACACTATTTTGCAATACCCCTTTGGGTTTCACTGTAACTTTATTCCTGCGTATTTTCCGTGTTGACGATAATTCCTATGAATATTTAGATGGGGCTAGCACGTATGTTATCCGCCATTTTCTTACGTCAGTAAAAGGAACGTGAGGCACCGTTGGTGTCGCACCAACGCGGTGTCGCTGGCTGGCGCAGGAATTTCATTGATAAGTTGCGGGCGGGAGTGGGATGCATGCTAGCCGCCCCGCCACTCTTCTATTCATTCTGCGGACCCACTGCATTGCCTTTTAATTAATGGGCCTTCGGATCCAAGCACGATTCAAATTTATTGACATTAAAAATGTATTGTGTAGCTATCTACCACTTACAATTAGAACAGTAATTGAAATGTTCTTTACTTTTGTTAGGCCGTATTTCAGATGAGATACATATTTATATTATACAAAAATACTTTAATTAAAACTATACATAACTTCTAAGGATACAAAGAAGAAGAGCCAGGAGAGTTTTAATGTGTAAGCAAAAAATAATTAAGACACTTAGAATTTAATAGTTAGCAAAAGAACTCTGGATATTGTTTTCATAACGATTTAATAATGAATGTGATCCAATGTAGATAAACAATAACAGACTTATTGTTCAGTGTACTACCATCTTACATACATTTTTGTGTTATATATTAGATACCAGAGTCCAATTTATGTGAAAGATAAAACGGTGTAGAGAATTGTCTCGTCTCGTCTCATCGAATGTTTGGCGTAAGCCGTCATACGCCTACTTACCTCAGTGACATCCCGTTTTTGATGGAATTAATAGGTTAATATGTACCTTCTTCCAATTTATGATTAAAATAAATTTGAAAAACAATATTCATGTCGAATTAATTATGTCTATAAGATAAAATTTTAATTCCGTGTTTGTAATAGATGACTTTCTGTCATAGACGACTTTCTGTCTGGTGTGATTAGGATGAACAAAATATAGCTGTGAGGTGTTGTAACCAACTTCCATTTGTTGATGAAGGTGGTGGAGAGTGGTAAAGAGTCGCGGAACGAGTGTCGGCAACGATGGTTCATTTGTAGTTTGCGTTGAGTCGAGCCAAATCGCATGGCGAGCTGCGAGGGCATCGACCCGTGCGCCGGCGCAGACGTTGTCGTCACCGCCGCCGCCGACGCCGCCGGTGAAACTATTTCACTGAAAAATCAACCTTGACGATTTGTCGCGTCGTCTGAACCGATGCGTGGGTGCCTCCCGAGCGTAGTCATAACCGTTAAATATTGGCACCTCTCACTAATGTACGTCGACGTACCTATTCCAACAGTCTCCGGAATTTCGCGTTTCATTAATAACGACTAATGAAAAATTCCCTTCTGCCGCTGTTATGACCCAGTCTCGTAACAAACCGTCGTGGTAATCACATGTAGATACAAGATACAAGTAAAAAAATTGTAGACTTTAGTATATTCACAATTTATAATAACGCATTGTTTTAGTATGTTCTCTGTAGATTATGTTACATGTTGAAGGTAATAGCTATTTCGAATTTAATAATTGATGAGATTATGAAAGTCAAATCTGTCAAAATGTCGTGTTCCATGAGACCTGTAAAAATTATCATGGATGTTAGTCCTATACTGATTGTGGCAGTTAACTGTATCGAGTTTAATAAGGATCATCAAAATCCTACAACAGTGGCCGAATTTATCGCCTTACAACATCTCAAGCATTAAAAAAGTAGAGTCGAAGAACTCTTCTATTTAATGTTGCTCGGTATCAAAACACGCAATATATATTGACGTTAATATACATTATGTTTAATTATTTGTTTTTAAAAGTCAATAGACTATTTTGATCACGAAACTGTTCAATCTTATTGGAAGTACTTAATTTTTTTTTGTTGAAAATAACCTGGGCACGATTATTATTAGATGCGTTTATTAAAACATCTAAAAATATCTTGTAAAAGTAGTCTGTCATTTTTGTTCATATTTAATTTCTTCAACTTCTATCTATCACCCAAAAGTGCCTCATGTAATGTCTAATTTGAATATTATCGTGAAACCAGACAAAACAATTTTATTATGTAATCATTTTAAAGTAAGTTAGGTACCTATTATTTTTTTAATTGTTCATTCAGTTCTATTTAATGTTTTAATCCATCAAGTTTCAACTTTATAATTGGCAAGAAAATATTTGTTTTCTTTCATTTTACTATAGTTATTACATGTACGTTTAAATGAAGTAATCGATTTTTATTTGGCATTAAATATATGCCAATAATAAGTAATTTTTATAATATTCTTGGAAGTACGATCTACCTGGTCCGCGTATTGAGGAATAGAGTAGTTTGACATAATAACTATTCACAAATTCAAATTAAGAAAATAAAGAATAATTATCTTTTCCTATTTTATTAAGAAAAGTTTAGTATAAAAACGAAATTAAATATAAAGAATGGTTTCATATTAAATCTACTTATTCTAATCTAATTAGTAGATAGTAGATTTTTTATTTGAATATAGAAAAAGTGCCCCGCCTACACTAACGGTATACACTGGATGACCAGTGGGAAAGCAGTGAAAGATGCTATCATCTTTTACATATTTCATCCCCATCCGGGGACAAATCAGGGGGGGAAATCAGGTCATTCAATTCATCGTGGCAATTTTAAAAATAGATAGCAATAGTATTCTATATGAACACAAAGGAATTAGATGATAAAAACGTATAAGCGTTTTGTTCCACCATTCAGTAACTTTTTTTGGAAGCCCTATAAAAAGAACATAAATAATTGGCTTGTTGGCTTAAGGTTCATGCAAACGTTTGTTATTACGAGGGCTTGCGATAAGATGGTCGATTTAACATCGTTGTAAGGGCTGGGGCTATGCTGTTGTGCCAAGACGCAGCGCGCGCATGCCCGGAGGAGGTAGAGTCAGTGCGGGCGCAGGGCGGGTGGCGCCCGCGCATAATGGGGAGTCGGCAAACGCTTTGTGCCTGCCGCTGTTATTATGCAGATTAACACCGGCGGGAATTTGTTCAAATATCGTAACAAGCACTCCTCGCGGCGCCGGCGCCGCTCGCACTGCTGTTATTTACATGTCTCAGGAATGTGTCGGCTTTGCCTCCTTCTACGGATTTTGGACTCGTTTTCTTGATTTCAACATTCGTTCTTTCTTAGAAACAGTTTTTTGGAGATATGGACTGCCTTGTTTCAAAATATTTTAGACTTTTTGCACTGAATTCGTATTCAAATGTGGTTTATTTAAAAGTATCCGTCTGCACCTTCTCAAATTACTTAAATTGACAAAAGAACATACATCAGCTACAATACTGTTATATACATTGTATATAAACTGCATTGAATTCAATCCAACAGTGTTACAT